TATTATTATTATTATTTTACTCTCATACACTAGTTTCTGTTCATTGTTACTCTTTTATCATACACACCTTCTATTCTCAATCTCTTCACAACCTCATTGTTGTTAAGTGACTCATATGTATTTGGTTTCACCTTGTACTAATGTTTATGTGTTCAAACAAACAAATAAATACTGAACCCATAACCTTTAGATCTCTTCACAAGTGCTAAACATTTAGAAATTCCTGAGCTGTGATATTTGATAGTCCGCATATTCAACTTCAGTCAATATACAATATTCTGAAAGAGTTACTCACTTGTATTAAGGAAAAATTACCTCACACCCAAAAAGGTTGAACTTTATCTCAGTTATGTCTTCTTACTTATGGTTTCTCGATTACTTCCATAAACTAGCTGTCATCAAGTAAGAGATTATTATTATTATTATCACTGCTATTAGGATGGGAAAAGTTTCGAAATGTCGTATCCTAAGGTAAAATACCTGTCCACAGCTTTCCAGGTTTTTCATGAACGTATGGTTAAAGTCAGTTCATAATGTAGAATATTTTCATATCGGCGGAAGCATGAACTTTTTAAAGTGTCGATTTCAAATAACACGTGAACCAATTATTTTTGTTCATGATAAAATGATAAAGAATTCATTTTATAATTGGTTCACTAAATAATAGACGAGTTAGTGAATTAAGAATGTAAAAACAAATAACGACTTTTTTTAGTATAGGGTTGTGGAAATTGTTGACTTTTTATTGAGTAGATCGCGCAATATCGTGGTTTGGACATTATCGGATCCCGGCTCAATGGTCTAGAGGTTAAGTGTTCGCAAAAAAAACGAAGGTCCTATGTTGGAGTCCCGTGTTTGGGATCGTGGATGTACTCTGCTGAGGATAGGACGAAACAACCATCCAGTACTTTCAGGTTCTCGATGATGGTCTAACACTGATCGGTTCATTATCTCAGTAATAACGGCTTCTATTTATAAATTATTCTTATGAATGTGACGACAACTATTGTTCTCGCATGATATCATCTCTGTAATTCTTCGGGGAATTTATTGACAAAAACTTTATTGGGGATAACCAATTTAGTGTAAAACTATGTATATAGTTTTCTTAAAGACTAAATTTTATTCAGCATAATAAATAACAGTAAACTATAATAGGTAAGAAATATATTTCTGCATATATTAAAGATTTCTACAAAAGGCAACTCCAGGTAAGTCAGGGACTATTTTCTCTATAAGATACATAATTTTCATAATGGTCAGTGGATATAACTAAACTATTCTTGTCACATACATAAATTTGATTCATGCGATGAGTAAACACAATTTTTAGTATATTTCTATGCCTATATGTGTATGTGTTTGTTTACCTAGGAAGTTGTGTACATAAGCGTTTTTCTTCCTCACTCCACCCTTGTTCAAGCTTTATCTTCATTGAAATTATTATTTTTCCAAAAAATAACTTTTATGAGATTACTAATTTTCTGCGAGTGAATAAATAAATAATTATTTTTGGTACTCGGTAAGCATATGAAAAGTTAAGGAGAATTTATTTATTTCCCTGTTCTAATGAACAACAACTACTGCTGATGTCTTTCCATCATATTTATTGATTTATTTTCTGTTGTCTGTCTGTTTGTCTATCTATCTGGCTGTCTGTCTATAGCTGATTTCTATTTTTCGTTGAACTTCTTTCGGTATTTGCATATATGATTGGTTAAAACTGGAATTCAGATATTAAAAAAAATTCGATAAAAGTAATAGTAAGCAACGTTTTTTGCAAGATTCATGTAATTCATATCTAATAGTTTTTATAATAAACCATTGAACGACAGGTCATCGGGCTCAGTGAAAATACTCTTGTGGAGATTGTAGTAATTTCAATAGTTGAGATCATGAGTCAATTGAAGCTAGACCATCATGGAAAACCTGGAAGCACTGGACGGCCGTTTCGTCCTTTTGTGGGACTCCCCAGCAGTGCGCATCCACGATCCCGCCTCGCGGGAATCGAACCCAGGACCTATCAGTATCACGCCAAGCGCTTAACCACCTAGACCACTGAGCCGTCATCCAACGGTGTTAATGTCTAACTTCAACTAATCCACGAAATTGAGCGACACATCCACCATTGTCATCAGGTTTTCCATGGTGGTCTAGCTTCAATTGACTCATGATCTCAACTATTGAAAGGAAATCCTCTTATTATGAGACTTTAATACTTGTGGATTCGATCACTCAAATAAGGTTGTACACTACACTGATTATAAAGTCTTAAGTTACTTGTTCAGTACTCGTCTGGTTATAAATGTTTCATTAGCTGATCTTAGTTATTTTAGAATTCTTTTTTTTAAAAATTATAAGGTGTTGTTGAGATTCAGGAATTCAAAGCTTCATGTCACGGATTGATTTAGGTTTGACTAAAGTTGGTTTATGGTGTTAAAAGGAGCTCAGCAATTTCAACAACCCTTTATGCTAAAAACTCATCGTTTACTCACTAGCGAAGAACTTCATGTTGGGTTTGAGATAAATATTATCAATGAAAATGGATAATGATCCTGCTATGTCTTGAATCTAGTGAAGTTATACATGTAGACCGTTGAATATCAGCTTAGTAGTCTGAAGATTAAATACCTTGTGCTGAGAATTCTAAAGACACAGGGAAATTCATTCACTGAAAATCTCTTCAATTAACTTAAAGTATTTTAAACATTTGATGATAAATTATTAGTATGCTAGACTTAACATTATTCCACGTAAGATACATCGAGATACAGGATAAAATCTTCATTGTTGACTATTGCAATAATCTATAAAATGACATATCAGTCATACAGATAGTATTATCATGGAGAAATAAATATCAATTTAATATCACGGATTTCGATAAGCATTAAAATATAAGAGAATGTGTGTAATTTTGTTCATTCTTTCGAAGAGATTTACAGTAATCTAGCTCATACTAGCAGGAGAATCTATGATACTGCATGATTTGAAAACAGTTTAAAGGAAACGTATATGTATGCTATGAAACAAGGTTTCCTGAATAAGAAGTGCCGTGGAAAAAGGTAGGAAACTCATAGAACCTATGTTACTCAATAATTTAAAAGACTATCCATCCAATGTATGTACATACTATCACAGTTGTTGATATTTCTACCATTTGCGAATAATACAAATATCTAATTTTACTATTAAGGAACCATTATTCTGGATTAATTTTAATTCTTTTTTGTTATGTGTGAAACTAATTAGTTGCTAAAAGTGTTTTTAGCCTCTATGATATATTGAAACTACACAGGTAAGTTGATATTACAGACCTTATCATTTTCGTCGTAAGCTGCTGAGCCTACTTTTAATTAAATCAGTAGTCAGTCATCATTTACTTAATATCATGTTGAGTTACACATTATTTGCTGAAAATTTTCAATCGGTGTTCTGAAATATATTACATTAAATGTATGTACAATCTATCATATCTGTCTCTGAACCTTACTTAATTAGCGCATCACCCACCCCTTCTGTTTTTTGAATCCCAACACCAAATGACCTTCGACCTGTTCCTGCATGTATATATATATATATATATATATATATATATATTATTGATAACCTTTGTCATCCCAGTTCTTTTCATTCATCTATGTTAATTGTTTTACATTATATCTTGCCTCAATGTAAACTTTCATTACATAACTGGTTGTAAGCAGCTGATGAGAAACCACAAAATATGATGAATTCATATGATACTACATCCATGTTTGTTCTGGTTTTATTTAAACTTATGGTATAATTACGATTATATTGTAATTTCTTATTTATGTTCGTTCACGGTCAAAAGTTAATTTACATTATCACAAAAGCCTGTTTAGTGAACTAATCTGTACAATAGAATTTTATTTGTTTGCTGTATTGTTGTTCTGGCTATCATGTAAGCAAGAGAAACTCCGCCCCGGACAAATAGGTGTTAATCACTGATATCAGTCGTTATTTCTCTGTCATCGGAGTCATCGGTCTAAGAAAGGGCATTGGTCCTATACAGGTGATCTCGGCGAATTAATCACCAATCGCATTAGATACCTCAATCGCTCCCATAAGAACTGCCTTATCACACGAGAGTAGAGCAGTCTCTGTCAATGGTATTGGATGTCGTTTCAGTGTATCGCAAACTGATTGAAATTGGAATGGCATCATTGAACACCGACCCAGTGGCCTTAGTTGTTAATAGTTTACTGCGGACCGACTGGTTCTGGATTTGACTCTTGGTAGGGTCATGTGCAAGTATTGCCGAGAAGTTCTATATTAGGCGGAAACAGCTACCCAATATTCCCTGGTTTTTAATAGCATCCCAACTGAAATCAATCTGTAACCAATACAACATACAAATTAAACCAATCTCTGCAAAATCCCCTGCGATTAGATCGTAATCAGGGTTCATTAAATATCTAACGAACATATGTTTCTGGATGTGGAATTTAATTGTTGATCGTATCATATCAACACGTGCATAGGGTGTTCATCAAAAACGATAACTATAACGAGCTATAGTTCATGTTGTCCTTGAAAGAGGTTTAAAGTAGTAGTGTTTTTTCTTCATTTCTCGGTGGTTGTTGGAGGAAATTGAAAGAAATGACTGATGATGTTAAACACATTTCAACGTAAACCCAACAGGCAAGTTGAAGTTATAGATTATATCACATTAAAAGAAATTTTTTTGTCAAACATAGATAAGTATAATAATGACTAAAGGTCATTAGGTACTGATAGAACTTAAACAACAGATCAATGTGTAATTACCACACCCAAAGTATATGACTACTATTATTTTGATTACAAGATAGAATAGTAAACATTTAGTTCAATAATATAAGAAAATTGTGTTCTCCTTTACTATTATACAATATCCCCTCCTCTGAACATAAAATAGATTTTCAATATTACTAGTTTAGTGAAATAATACTTTTTTGGAAGCTATGAAATAAAATGTCCCTTTCTCATGATTGATGTCACAAAAAGTATGCACTTAGAAAATGGCTGAAATGATCGGCAGCTGGTTTCTTCTCTGCCACATTAGGTTGCTGATGATGATTTCTTATCCGTGAATCTGGAATATCTAATAAAGGTATCTGCCTATAAATAGTTTTCCAAGTTTCAACTTCGGACGACAGATTTGTTTTAATATTTACATCGGAGGAGGAGTTAATCCACGTTGTTAGAGTTAGTTAGATCTGTTTAACTGGATTTTCAGGCATGCAATAATAACTAATTGCAAACCTTTTAAAATATCATCCGGCTGCCTACATAAAAACAGGTAAATCTTCTGAATCTGTAACTATGTCGTTGAAATCTGCTAATCCACCTCTTTATATTTAGTAAGGGAATCAATATAACACTATTCTCCATATTGAATCAGATTATTTTAAGCAATTTTTCCCCAAATTTATCTTTGTTTATTTCATCATGACGTTTATTTCTTCTTTTTCTTACTTTCAAAGATTATATGACAGTAGGCAATATCTTCACTTCGTGAACGCTTCACTACTGAACTCTAATATCATTAAATCATATATATATATATATATATATATATATTGGGGATTGTTTTGTAATAATCGTTTTACCATCAAATATATTTCGAAATTCCCTATACTTATTAAATAAACTATCATTTGTTTGATTTACAATCGTGGAGGTCACAACTGTTCAGCAAACAGAAAACGGGTCAGTTGACCATAAGAAAGTGGTATATGAATTAGGTGATCAACCTCCACCTTTGGCTACTGAAGAAGTAGAACAAATAATTGCCAGTCAAGATTGTGACAAAAGTGATATCGTGTTAGTAGAGTCAGGTGAGTTCTTTGAGAAAGATCACGCTGATTGCTCTTCGAAAGAACAAGAATTTGAGTTGGATCAAGTTACTTGTGATCAACAATTGAATATAGCTGTTGACGAAGGAGCCTTAGTATTCGACAACGACCTTCCATCATCTCCGATTTCAGTTTATGAAGAGTTACATAAAGAGAATACTGAAGAATTACCAGCATTTCCTTTGACACCTTCAGTAATTCCAGAAAATTGTATCAAATCTGAATTACTGTCAAATCACCAACCACAAGCGATACCTGAATATTGTACAGATACTAAAATTGGACAAATTGTAGGTGAAACTCTAGATAAAATAAGTGATAATTACTTAGTTGAACCAATTAATTTTTCTTCAGATTCCATCCCATCTACAAAAAACTTTACAGAGGAAGACGCTGAAAATTCACTACAAGAGCCTACTGGAGAACAATTGAATAGTCAATCCGTTGACTACTTAGAAAAAAGTGTTGATATAGAGGTTCGAGTTGATGAACAGAACGACCTCACTAGTATATGCGAACTGAAAGACAAAACAAACACTGAAGAAAAATCAACAGAATTGCTTGACTTTGAAGAAGAATCAATCAGTTTATTGAATCCTGAAAACGAAGCAACCGAATCATCTTACGTAGAAAAAGGATTTCCTACATTATCTACCATTGAGAAACAAGTTAATAAATCGTCTGATCTTGACGAAGAAATAACTAATCCGGTTTGCATCGAGGAAGCAATAAAAGATCCTGGTAAATCAGAAAATCCTCAGACTTTTCTACCATACAGAAATAAATCATCTGTTGAAATTTCGAACTCCTTAACGTCTACTGAATTCTGTCCAGAAGAAGAAGTAGTAGTAGTGGAAGAGCACAGTAGAAATAGTAGTTCTACAACTGGCGCTGAACTACTAGACGAAACAAATTCTAGCGCTTTGTTTGTAAAGTCTGTAACACCGTCAGTACTAACCGATTCACCAAATCACTTGACAGATACTAATTATCGAAACTCATTTGCATCTAGTGAAGTTGTACCATCGAAACATACTTTATCAATTGATTCTCTAAGTGAATCTGTGAATAATACTACAAATACTAGTAACAATAACGATAATTTAAAAGAATTAACACTAAACACTTTAAATTGTGATACATCAATGAGTACTACAGTTGGTGTATCTGATATTACGGCTGATCAATCGGAAATCAATCGGGAATCATACATTTCATATCCATCGTATGACATTGACAATACGCCAGCTCAAAGTTCTTTTAGACATTTAAATCATATGAATCATAATGAATATCAAAACAGATTAAATGGTGGAGAAGATGAATATTTATCAGGTGATATTAAAGAAAACACTAGTGGAAATAATAATAGTAATGAAGATATTCCCATGAACGATGATCGATCCGAGTATACTAATATGAAAACAGAAGAAAGTTATCACGATTCTACGTGTCCATCGCATTCAGAACAAGAATTGGATCAAGACATTTTGAAAAATGAACATGGCAAAAATGAACTAGTTGCTGAACAAAATATGGAATGTTTAAATATTCAAAATGTTGAAAATCAACAAAAATTATCGTTTAATCAAATCAAAGAAGATTTAGAGAAAAAGAAGTGAGTCATAGTGTCGTCTCGTTTTTAATTATTCCTAAACGAATTATTCTTTTCACAAAATTGTTTCCAAGATCAAGTTAACGATAGAAGTAAAGTATATGGATGATTTTGAGTGATCTACAAGGCAATCGGAAAAGAATATTCGATTATAAAATGATTCTTAGTAAAAAATGGCAAAATTATTACAATCTATAAGCAGATTTGACATGAATGATAAACCTTCATACGTGAATTATTCCGGTTTTTATCCTGAAATGACATCTTTTGTAACCATATGAATGGATGAATTTCGCTCCAAAACTCAGGAGACGCTGACTAAAATCTGAATGGTTTGTCCATATACTTTACTTCTGTTAAGTTGGCTACTATAAGATTGTTTTCATTGTGTAGTGGCATATGAAAGATAAACATCTTAGGCTCCTTTTTTCACTCATTTCATTGACGTTTAGGCTGCAAAATTTACACATTGTTTACAATTTGGTTATTAAGTTTTTCTTCACATTGAAGTTTCATCTTTGCATAGACTCGTCAGCACGGGGATACCGGATTGAGTTGCTTATATGATTTAGAAGTAGAATGACTATATCTATTACAAGCGCCTATTTATCACAATACTAAACGAAGTTGATCGGTTGATGCCAAATGATAAACTCATTCTGTTGAGATTTACAAGTATAAAGCAAATGTTAAAACATTAGCACTCAGTAATTGACAATTATAAAGTTGATTTATATTTCATTCATTACATCACATTATCCTTCTCTGTAAGTTGGTATTTTTACTGGAAGATTCTCAGACTAGTATCTACAATGCAGCTTCTTAATAAACTGGGACAACCACATATTTTTTTTGGTTACTTAAAACTATTGATTTAGCTCAACTTCAACTTCGTTGATTGGTATTTTAGGCGCGAATATGAATTAATTTTGATCAAACAATGTTTTTGACAATTATTTTCTATATATGTGGTGAAAATTGATTACCCAGAATACATTTACTGTCTCAGAATTGGTTATTTTGTTTGAATGAACAGGTGAATGTTACTATGATTTGATTGACTGACATAATTTGAAAGTTATTGTTTTCTGAGTGGTTAATTTGGACGTTTTCACCCGGAAAGATATTCTCTTGGGTTGATTAAAGCATCTTTAAAAGTGGGATAAATGAATAAAAAAACCTCACTCTTATTAATTTTTGGGCTTCATATGAGCTGTATAAATGATATACATTACGTGAAATTCATAGAAACTATATATTCATTCTTGCTGTACATAACAATTTATAAACATTTAATTTAAATCTCAGGTTTAACAAATTCTCTAGCTGTTTCATAGTTGAAGCGTTTAGTAATTGCAAAGTTGACGTAGCTGAATTCCAACCATGGAACACTGAACAGTTGTTTCTTCTTAGTATGTGACTCTCTGACAAGGCTTGGGTCCAGGGTCTTAAAATTTCGTGGCCATTAATTAACCTTTTGTCTCATACTAGGCAGAACAACTGCTTAGTACTCCCTGATTTTTGATAGTACCTAGCTTAAGCCATACCACGTTGAGAACCACGTTCAAATTAAACGTGTCTCCACAATATTTGTACATCGAAACCACGACCATTATCTCATAAGTAAATTACATGAAAATTACTCACTGAACTTATGGTCAGAAGTGGTGATCACTAGAGTCCAGGTATTTTGAGAGTTGAACAGTTATCAACTGCAGTTCCATATTACGAATTGTTTGGAAATGGAAATATCTGCCGTTGGACACCAACTTAGTGATCTAGTGGTTAAAGTTTCAATGAGGGATCTGAGGCTCTCAGGTTCAATTAACGGTAGAAAACTGAATACACACTCCTGGGGATTCTAATTCAAGCACAGAATATCCGTTAAGTGCTCTCTGTTTCCCACTGGGACTCGAACTGGAGACGATTTATGACGAATACTAACTAATCTCCAAAAAGCCTCTACATTGAAACTATAGTACTATTTTAGTAGTTATTTTCTCATCAAATTTTTTACCCCGCTTATTATGACCAACATTTTACAATAGATTTCTTAAAATAAGGATTGTTTCTTTGGCATTTTCCACACTAAAGTACTGAGGGAAATTTTTACTCGTGTATATAACGTCTTTTAATGCAATCTTCAAAACTAACTGATCTGCGAATACTCTTCTTTACTCCTTTTTTCCTGAAGTAAAAATTAATTCACTTTTGTATTGTTTGCTTGAATCTTCCCATTGATGTCTGGAACTGCAACTGATTAGTCTCTTACATGTGCTTCCTGTTCGGATTGCTTCGATATCGCATTAAGTCAAAAACACTATAGACACCCTATTGCACAATTTAGTGACTATCTGGACTCAGTAGCTAAGTGGATATCGCGATGGCGTCTGAAGTGAACCGCGCTGGGTTCGAGTCCCGAAGGGAATATCAACTCTGGGATGCAGGTACATTTATCTGACGAGTCCCAAATGGGACGAAACGCACATCCTGGATTCCACTGCTAGCCACCATTCATCTCTGCTCAAAAAATTAATTATTGGAAAGATAACCATTCATCATTTCAAAGGATCAATATCAATAAATGGTGCACTCTGGGATGAAGGAAACTGTGCTTACATAACGGATATAAGTGATATATATATATATATATATATATATATATATATATATATATATACCTTTACACATTCTCAGTATATTACATATTCATAGTCATTCTTCTGAATTGAAAAGATAATGATTCTTTGATCATCAGATAATTAACAATGTCTTATATTTATGTGGAAATCCTATCCTTTTTAGAATCTATATTTTTACTGATGAAATCGCTATTACTTAGTTACCTGAGTAAGTACTGTCAAGTTAATGATTTTCCTAACTTCATTAGTTTTATTATTGATCAACTGACTGTTATGGTTTCGTTATGAACCGTCATCAACAATAATATTTAGTAAACACCGTGGAAAGTAATTAGTAATTTATTTATTCTAGGTTGTTGGGATTTAACAGAAAACAACTCTCTGAAAATGTGTAAAATGGCCTTAAGTTTTCATAGTGAGCAGATTAATTTGATTTAGCTTGGTCGGAAAGTAACCATTGGTCAATACTTTTCAAATTAATCAATTTTATGACAATGAGTTTAACTGATTGTAAAAATTATACAGTTTAATTAATTCGCTTGTAAAATGGATTAATCTGGAAATAGCTTTCTATGGAAATTGAGTAGGTTCGATTCATGTGATGTTTAGTGTATCAATATGTCTTTTGAATGTATACAAACTAGTTGTTCAGCTGATTGATTATGAAGACCATTTATATTCTGGGTTAAGTTTCATTAAGGATAACGAGTAAGAAAAAGCATTGAACCTAAATTAGCAATCTTCATCATCTACGAGTCTCACGGTTTACATTTTTAGTTTCAATAAATTCTTGAACTTTGTCACAACTTCCCTCTAGAATTTTGTAATTTTTTTAAAAGTTAGTGTTACTCATCTCATAGGTTAATCATCTGGGATTAGTCTATGATGCAAGCTATAACAAATCCTAATGTTATAGGCATAGATGGATGGTGGCCAGCAGTGGAATCCAGAACTCGCGTTTCGTCTCATTTGTGACTCGTCAGCCAGATGTACCTGCATTCTAGAGTTGACATTCACTCAGAGACTCGAAACCGTCGCCGTCCCAAATAGGATGAAACGCGCGTTTTGGATTCCACCGCTAACCATCATCCATCTTTGCTCATAATGCTTGTGAGTTAAGGCAATATCGAGGCAAATCGAACAGGAAGCGCATATACCGATAAGAGACTGATCAGTTGCAGTTCTAGACATCAATGGAGAGATTCAAACGTCCAATACAAAATGAATTAAATCCTAATGTTTTTTCAGTTTTTTTACGGTTGTTTCCGACCGATAGTTAAAAAGTAATTATTCTCACATCTATTTTTCTGCTTAATTCCGAATAACCAAGTTAAAGGAGAGTGAAAACATATTAGTTGTTTATTTGAATATAAACTGATGATAAAGACATCACCAATCTCATGTGATAACGACAGCTTACTCTATCAGTAAGACAGTTCATCAAGAGAATGATAAGTCAAAGATTTAGATTGATAAATAACTCAACAATCGAAAATACAAGGTCGTCATTTATGTCCATATATTACATGGTTAAATGTTCATTCAGAGAATTTAATCATACATATCAACATATGAAGCAACTATTGAATGGGACTCTCGACTGCGCTTTGTACACATAACCTTTATTTATTACGGTAATAACATTACTCTAATTACTGAATACGATATCCGATACTGATAAACAAGTCCTTTATTTGCAAGCTCAACTGACTACTTTAGTGAGGAACTTTATACATATAATCCAAAAAAAGCTTAAGCCATATTTTTTCATCAATGTAGTGTCTCATTCCTTAGGAAAAAGGCTGCATGTTGGGCGGTTGAGTGAACTGATCATTTGTCTGATGCCTGATCGGCCCACTGGGGGATAGTCCAATGCTGTATGTCTTCAAATATGATTAACTCCATTATACTTACTCAATAGTAGTTATGTAGAAGGTAGAACCAAAACACTTGTATTGAGATAAGATGGTAGTTGGAGGTAGTCAACAGGAAACCTAGTGCACGCAATGAAGAGTCACATAGACTAGTGGCCATATTACAACTTGGTCAATAGCATTCGATCTATGCTAAGAAGGACCTGACACATATGACATTGATCACCGCTCAGTGATCAGTCGATTGTGAACACTTATGGTGATTTATCAAATGTTTGCAGATGTTTCCGCTTGGTTTTTTTCCTCATCCCACACATAGAGCGGAAGTCACAGGGATTTAAGCCATTTATGCTATTTTTCTGTTCCTCACTTGGTCAGAGAAGACTTAATAGATGGTGTTATTAATTCTTTGTGTTCATTAGTCGTTTCACTTGTTTTCTTTACTATCTACATACTTTAAATGACTATCCAAGCATCTCCCATTACTGAGCTTCATATGACTAGTTTGATGAGTTTATTCTTCCAAGCTTTGGCCTACTTCTCGTGTAAATATACTTGTTACCATTATCATACTGTTTGTTATCGTTATCACTACCAATAAACCTATCATTTCAATATCAATTTGTACTTTAACCTGTCAGAACTGGTTACGTAATACATTTTTATTGTTATCATTCACACAGATTGATGTAGTTTTAATATTTTTCATATACTCATATAAATATTGCTACATAATTAAAGCCTGATGAAGATCTAACTGAAAACAATATAGTTTGCTTATATGTGTTGATCTGTTTCGTAGTACAACATGATCTTTATTCACTGTTGTCAGTTAGAGTTGCTGCTTATTTCATAATCATAAATGCATGACTTTCTGGTAGAACTAAGAGGAATTCAGTTTAGTTTTCCATCGACAGCCTTATGTTTATCATTATTCTTTATTTAAGGCAGGTTTATGGGAAGTTAATTTCTTTCCATTATAACTAGTAGATAGTAGCTGAAATCATTGAACTATGTACAGCTATTTCCTCCTGATTTCAATGAAGATCACGAGAAATAGCTAGTTGGCGGTAATTAAAAATCTAGATCGAATTAATGAAAGGTCGTTTATTTAATACAAAATTAGAAAGCATATTTCTGGAAATTCCGGAACGAAAGAGAAACAGTCAATCAGTCATTTTTATTTCCCACCAGTTTTTAAATTATTTTTGATATGTGCATTCCTCTATGTGTAAATTACTTCCAACTACAATTTAACAGAGGTAAAGAAAATGGAAATAAATTAGATACTTGTGATATGCTGATAAGAAAGGATAGTTGAAGAAAACAATGGGAGGGGGAATAATTAGTAATAGTTGTTGAAGTATTAAGACAAAAGTTTAAAACCAAAATAAAACTGTATCGTTGATTTCTAGTATATTTCTGCATCTGCTTAAAATTGCTAAAAAGCATTAAGGTCTGTCAAATAACCTTTTAGTCCTGTTCGGTATTTTTTTTACGACGGAACAACCTTATAATTCTTGATCATTGGAATTAAGTCTGTAAATTACGGGCTTCAGAATAAACACTTAGTTCTTTCTCACAAAACGATTTTAGTTTAAAGTTTCATCTAGTGGAACCTAATCCAATGGTCATGTTACAAGTTTGCCATAGATTCCAGCGTTCCAAAGTATTTGAACAAAATTAAGATTAAACGTACTGAGTGTTTCCAATTTTAAATGTTTGTTTGTTCAAAATCAATTCATGATGAAAAGAGGAACAGTTCAAATACGAAGTATTAAGATTTCTCTTTGAAACGGAGAGATAGATTCGAGTTTCGATCAATATGAAATGAAGAATAAAGTAGCCTAAGATGGATAACTAACCATGTGTAGAACAGTGATTTATGATTTATCAATACGTAAAAACGTGTTACAGGAATCAAACATTATATTGTGATGTTTGCTTATTTTTCATGTCTATAACTGTTTGAACTAAATTACTTAAATACTAACAGTAAAAAGATTGAAAATTGTGAGATGGCAACCGGTCTTTAAAATGATGATTGAAGACTTCAGCATAATGTGGAGCTCTGAAAACCGCTGTAACAAGACATATATCATTACTGCTACTACTGTCAATCATAGATAGTCATTCATAGTCGTTTGCAACCAGTATTGAAAGTCTCATACATCAGATTCATTATTGTATTTTATTGTTGCATTTGTTATTAAGTAGTATTTGTGATATGTAAATGAAGACTTTTACCTTAATTTGGTCAGGAGTAGCCAAATAAAACATAATACAGTGGTTGTGTAGATTCATATGTGTGTAGTTTACACGCCTACTGATATGTAGTGTGCCACACAGTTTGTTACTATTGGTTATAAATTAAGTCTGTCACATGACTTTTTCGTATGTCTCGTTTTTAAATGTTCTTAATTTCACATTCTGTTATTACTTAACGTCGATTCCATATTTAAAATGGATCGTTATTGCTGTTGTGCTTGCGACTAGATCAAGATGTTTCACGAATGACTTTTCTACAAATCATTTGAATCCTTTTTTTAGTTTAACCTGGAATTTCAAGAATACACACGTTTCTTACTCATAAAAAGGCTATTAAAATTTTTGTACTATTATTTAGCAGATAACTATAGGGACTTTAATAATTATTTTTTTTTAAATTAACGAAATAGCGTGATTGGTTCCCTTCAACCACTACGACCTGAACAATATATTATGCATCATCAAGCTGGTTTGATTAAACAACAAGAGATGTTGATTTTAAATCCACAAACTGGCGATGTATTAAGTGATCAATATTCATCACATCATCAAACAAATACAATAACAACAGGTGGCACACATCACTTCGCTAGAAATATAGCATCGAATAATTCTGTGGTAGTTCCTACAGGCGGAAATGTTAGTGGTCCTCCAGTTGGATCTGGAACAGTAGCAAGTCAACAGAAAGGTTCTACTATTTATCCTAAAACTGGTCAAAATCCTATTGATGGAGGAACAAATGGAGGTGTTGGTGCTAACAGCAGTGGAAATGCTGGTGGTGGCCCTGGAAAAAGTGGAGTTTTAGTTGGTGGTGGTTTGGATAGATCTCGACAAGTATATAATATGTTTGAATGTCAAATGTCACAACTTACAGTATTTTTGGATCGTGCACTTATATGTAGACGTATTAGACCACGTTTCAATGCATCGGATATTACAGAAGTTGTTTTTGAGCATTTATCACCAGCTATTGATAAAGATTCTATTCGGTAAGTTTAATTTTCTTGTTTTGTATTTTACTGTTTATAGTAAAACTTTGTTTTAGAAAGTGTTGCTTTTTTAACTTATCATTAACAGAAGAATAAAAATCAATGTTTTAAGTTACGTAACTATTATGGGTTTATTAATTATTTATCTGGCAACGCTCTGGTATCATTTGAAAAAAGTTAGTGCAGTGACAAACATCAATATGTATCTGTGTCATCACTAGTTTGGAACTTATTCATAATGGATAATCTTAACCTTTTTTACTATTTAGTATCTAATGTATGACATGTGATATTTAGGCGACTGGATTTTCAAAGTTCAGTATGTGACTATTAGAAAAAAGTGTTCCATTTATTCTGATTGAGGTTATTCTCAACATTTTCATTATTCAGTAACTGTGTTGTATTCAGTACTTTCGACTAGTTTCCTCCTCATTTAATGATAAGCTGTTACGCATAAGAGTATAGTTTTCATTTTTAATGTTTCATTTCAAACCCTCACTTTAACTATATTTATGCTTTACATACATGATGTTACGCTGCGCTACACTGACATGTTGATTGTACATAGTTTTGTATACATTCAAAGGCTTGAAATAAAATTGTTAGTATAAATTACGCTTCAATCAGTAACATTTACTCATTGAATAGTTGAAGAAAATAACCGAAAATACTGAGTATATTAACCATCATTTATTTAGTTAGGAATTAATCTATATAAAGTCATAAAGTCATTAAGCAATATATTCTTCAAAGTTATCCCAGTGAATATATATTTTAAATGAAATATGTCGTTCATCTATTTCAGTAATCTTTTTGTGATCTTATTTTGTACTTATTATTAATCTTGACTTATAAAAAAATAGTCTTTCTGTCTTATAAATGTACTTTAAATAGTAATCAGTCATATATTAATAAGTTTTTATAGAAATAACAACTCACCTTATTTCCAATAAATCCAATTTAGTTTCATAAATCAATTTTATATTTTAAGTAAAATAAAGTTCATTTAGTAAGTGGATACTCTGATAGTAACAACATTTGAATTGTGACTAACGTAAATTTATTATTATGTATACTTGAGGTTAACAGTATAGAAATTAATGACATCAGTTACTAAGTATATAAGATAGTTATCCTTCAGTGAAGGGAGTTAGTTATGCACTTAGTGTTAGAATTGCATTGTACTCTCTTTGGATTAAAACAAATGGTAACTGTCATGATCAACTGTCACTATCACATGAATCCGAGTAGCATCTTTACTTAACTGGTCTTTCATACAGACAAATATTAAGTAATAACTCGATTTATAGTATAAAAAATTATTAGAAGAGATGGATGTTGGCTAACAGTGAAATCCAAGACGGGAGTTTCATCTTATTTGGAACTCGTCTTTGGTTAGATGTACCTGCATCCTAGAATTGATGTTCACTAAAATCTTATAGCAGTACGAAACAACTGGTTTTTAGTGGCACGACCTACAAGTTAAATCAATCTACATAAAACTCCGTCAGCTAAAGTTTATATTAATTGATAAATACTCACTTGGTAGTAAATTGACCAGTATAACTGTCTGAATACTTTGTTCCTGGTATTTCAATTGAGGAGTTCGTTTTTAGCCAAAAAAAGGTACCAATTTAACATTTTAAAATCACTCATAGTGGTTGTTGACGTTAATAATTTAACTTCTGATGTTATTCAGTTTAGCACTCTATCGGTTTACCTTAACAGTAAATGATCATTAGCAGTGTATTTCTAAAAATCACCATTGGGAGTTGATAATAAAAAGTAAACAAACCATGAAAATGTAATCATTTTTTAATGTCACTTCACTTTGGTGTTGTTTTACTTGTATCTTCCCATTGTTATTTAGTACTACAATTGACCAGTCTCAACTGCAGTCATAAATAACAATGGTAAGATACAGGTAAAACAACACCAAGTGAATTTAAACGTCTTCCCATTGCAAAAGCAGGCGGCTATCAGAGCTCAGTAGCTAAGTCGATATCATGATAGCGTTTGAAGCGAACAGTACTGGGTCCGACTCCCGAAGTGAAGATCAACTCTGCGATGCAGGTACATCCAGCTGACGAGTCCCGGATGGGACGAAAAGCGCGTCCTATATTCCACTGCTAGCCACTATCCATCTTTGTTTAAAAATCACTTCACTTTGCTTAAACTAATTAACCAGATTCCCTTCATTTTTTCCCTCTCTTGAAACTGATTCTTTTCCAAATTTAATTTTAATCGAATTGAACAGTTTTTCCATATTTATTCAGTTAAATTTATGAAATAAGGTTCGAAGTTGATTAACTAATTTTCTTAAAATTAAATAATCTACATTTTAAAGAACAATTAATTTTTCCATCCCTATTATTATTCTTCTTATTATTATTTTACATTTGCTTGTCTCAGGAATTATCACATCGCCAAGTTGACTAGTTCATGTTTACTCTTCATATAGCAATTATATATTCTTCTACAGTTTTGGTGAGTTATTCTGTTCAGTTGTAATGATTTTTATCATGAAACTGGACCACGTATTTGGATGGAATCGATTGAAATTAACTGAAATCAACTTGTATATAGATGATTACTGAAAAACAATCAGTATGTAGTCTGAGCGTTTTTTAGCAAGGTTGTTTCCTGCGTGATGGCGTTGCTGACCCCATATCCTCCCCTCCCCTTTTACCCAGGTTTGGAACCGGCAGTAACCCTAGGAGAGCTACAGGCAGAGTTATGTAATCTGAGACGTGAAACTACAATAAATTGTTCATTCTTTCAATAACAACTTTATTTCAATTATTTAAGAATATATATTATGCTGATCTAATTCCCCCTATCAAACTTCAATGTGGCGGATTACCTCCAACCACCTAACATCAAAAATAGTGAACACGATGTAGAGTCACTTGGTCTAGTCGTCACATTAACATTATATGGACAAGATCTAGCCAACAGTAAAAGGTTAGATAACAAATGATATTGGTCACTACCCAGTGATCAATCGGCTGTATGCATCTCATTTCTACAACATGTTAGTTTCTGGCCAAATGGTTGTGATATTGTTTCAAGCTGTGAAATTTAGTGGTACGAAGATGTGAATCTACCAGGTAGCATCGATTCCCTCAAGAATGCAGGTACGCCTCGCTGAGGAGTGCCGAATAGCACGTAACCTAAATCGAGCAGCTTTTCCTGTCGACCAGTCCCAACTATCTATTAATGTTTGATCTATTCTGGTGGTTAAAGACAGGCTTTTACTTTTTTACATTTTTGATGAGAATAATAATGACGATAATAATAGTCTGAGTTAATATTTGGACAAACACACTTCTCTCCCTATAAAGAATGAAATATTCTCCATTCATTGTATGAATTAAAAATATATAATTTTTGTATTTTTAAAATGTTAGTTTCCGAACAGACTTTTGATTTTGTAGTAACTAATCGCAGTCTGGACTATATAAATCTGTACATGAAACAATTTATCAGTCAATTGAATGGAGTATGACTTTGACTTATCACTAAAACTTTTACTTGTCTAGTGCTTAGCTCAAAGACTTTCAGTAGTAGTGATAATATAAAGAAATGAAGTATGTCTTCTAAAAAAATATACAACACAAGGGGAGAATATAAAGCCGTATAAAAAAATCTTTAAAAATGAATAAATGACATGCTAATTGATTGTTCTCGAACATATTAATAACCGATCATTAAAATGAGTTGTCAGTTATATCCATTTCGGTTATTTTATGAATAATCAACTCCTACTAAATGATTCCCAAGTTGATAGTATGATGATCAGATAAAGACATGAGAACAATTCAACTTAGGTTATATGTAACATATTCAATGCTATTCCCTCTGTTGTATCCAGAAATTTCGGTTATTTTCCTATTCATTTTGTAAATGGGTATTGTATATTGAAATTTAACTTTCATAAAGCATTTCATTTTGAGCTATAACGTTTATTTGTGGTTTTTTCTCTGTGTATCGAGCTGTGTTACACTGGACATATCCATAACCAATAAATCTAGTTACATGAAATGAAATCTTTGATGATGCATCAATCATTTACTAGATGAATGAAAAAAATAGGACTTGAAGAGCTACGTACATCAAACTTAGTTAACACTGTAAATGTTTTCAGATCATCCCAACACTTAGCTGTTTTTATATTTTATATTGTCTTCCTTTTTATTGGGTTCATATCTCTCACTTTTATATTTTTTCATGTAACTTTGTGTCAACCACCACACTTTAACTATTTGTATAGTCTCTAATTAGTATCGTGATTATAGTAAACGAGGAAAACCAAACAGTACTTTTGTAAAACATGAAAATCATACATTAAATACGTCATCTGCATACCTTCCTTCAGTTGTCCTTTATATACTTTATCATTCTTCTGATCCTGTTTTTATACTGACTGCTCTTCATTTTCCTTCCCTTTTTTATTTCACTCTTCCACTAGTAAGCATTCTACTTCCAATTCCTTCTACATACTACTTATATCTGTCCTCATACGAAGTGCATACCACATGATGTATAGAATGACAAATTCTTTGTTGTCGTTATTATTATTATTATTGGCCCTAATCAACTGTTACACTAGTTTAATGTTAGAAAAATATTTAGATATATCATGTGATTTTACCTTTGTTCTTTACTTTCATAAACTGCTTCATTTTATTGTATTCGCGATCAGTTTAGATAGGAGGAGAGACGAAAATTACGTGTTAAGTATTTTCATGAAAATCAGTTCCAAAATCGATACATTTGTGTTGTGATAAAAATAGAATTTGGCAGTTTAATGATGCCAGAATTGTTTACATCACCTAGTATTTACGTACATTTAGTTTATTTCAGAATATATCTATATTCTTTATACAATATTAAAAAGTACAGTTCAGAAAAAAATAATTAAATATTTCGTCAAATATGTTCATAGTAGAATAGTTGATGAAATGACATTTGATCTTTGAAGTGTTTGATTTGTCCAA